CTCGCCCACACTGTCCCTCCGCCACGCCCCTGCCGGCCAATGAATGAGGCCGTCGGCCACACTGCCCCGCCCCCGGCATCTCGGCTTTGCCCAATAAGGACCACCCGGAGGGTTTAACCGCTTCGCTCCTGGGGCTCTGGCAAATAGCCTCAGTCTTTCCCCCACTGTATCCCCACCCCCACTTGTTCCGCTCCGCCCTCCGCCACCCTCGCCCGGCCCTCCAGCCCGCCACGCAGCTTCAGTCGTCGCCGGTTACCATGGCAACGGCGGCAGCAGCGCGGGGAAAGGGGGAGGGACGGGGGCGGAGTGGGAGAAAGAGATGCTCAGAGATGAGAGATGCTGGCAGAGATAAAGGCACCAAGAAAGGCAAAGTGATCGCTGTAGAGTGGAGTTTGCATACAACACAGGGCCTAGCACGTAGTAGGCTTTCAATAAATGTTCCTTAAATTACTGCGGCAGGAGTCTAAATATAGGCAATGAAAGATGGAAGACTCAGGCAGAGCTGGGGAGCTCAACGACCGCAAAGCCTGAGCACTCCCTACCCCATCCAGCATTTGGGGAAGCAGGAGCCATGTGCCCCCTGCAGGCTCCTCTTGGGCTATCCTCCGCTAGCTGCCCTGGATAGAGATGAACCACAACTCCCAACATCGCCATGGGCAGCAACCCTCTAACATTGAGGGATCTTGTGCCTCGGGGCCTTATGGGAGTTGGAGTCCCCATCATCCCGAGGCTGACAAGTTTTCCAGCCAACGAATGTGGCAAGCCTGGGTCTCCACGCCTCTGTAAACCCCAAATGCATGATCTGCTCTGTAAGCCTCCTTCCTTCAGGGATGCTCAACCCTGGGCTCCATGGAAGAAGTAGGAGTCTGGAGTGGGTAAGGAATAAGGCCACCCACCCACCCAGAATAGCTGCCAGTGCAGGCAAGCCCCTCACCCTCGCTCCCATTTGTGTGTTCACGTGTTGGAAGCAGAGCCCACACATTCCAGCGGGCTTTCTATTTACACCTGGATACAGGGGACCACAGCCACGGAGCCTAAGGCCAAGTGGCAGGCCTAAGGGCAGGAGACAGCAGGAACAGAGGAAACCAGGCCAGAGAAACTGAGGCATAAAAATCCACCGAAACTACAGGGATGTGGGGAAGAGGCAGCCTGGGAAAAAGCCCGAAGCCCACAGAATGAGGGACAAGCAAGTCGCCCTGGTGGAGAGAGTGTGGGGGCTCCAAATCTAAAGGTCCTCAGCCCCCAATCTCTTCCAGCCATCCTCACACGTGCACAATGCATGTGTACACACATGTGTGAGTTTGTGGCAGGGAACATGTGTGTCCTCAGCTCCCTCCCATGAAAAGCTGCAGTTCCCACTAAATATAACCCCCTCCCCAGCCTGTGACTCACCCGGACCCCGCCTCCCCCGGCCCCCACTTCCTGTCCCACCCCCCAGCCCCCAGCTGCCTGCCACCCGCCCAAGCCTCCCTCCACACACCAGGCATCCAGCTCTCCAGTCCCAGAGTCTCCAAGCAGAGCCTAGGTATCCGCATCCCACCAGGAGCTCGCCTGTGCTCCATCCAGGATCTCCTGCCTTTGCCAGGCTCCAACCAGAGGGACACTCTTGCACAGATCCCCACCGCTGCCAGCCCTGCCCTCCTCCTACACCTTTTCACCCCGGTAACCTCAGTACCCTCGGTCATAAGTCCTCAGGGACCCTTAAATCCTGGTGTCCTCCCCCACCTTGATCCCAAGCGTCAGGGGTATCTGGAACAGTCCCCCCATCTGCTCTTCTCCCTCTTTCTTGACCAGGGCTAGATACAGTGTGGGAGGAGATGGGGACATTGGGCCCCTGCCTTTGGGCCACCCCCAAATTGTGCACCACCCACCCGGTCCCCCTCCTCAAATCCCCTCTCTCCCTAAGCCTCTCATCCTCCTCCTCAGAGGCTGGCAAGCTCGGCTGCTGCAATCTTCTGCCTCCTATGGGAATACCCCCACATCCTTGCCTCACCTGGTCCATTCCCTCAGGTAATCCCATGCCAGGGCCCCAGCCCTCTGACAACTTCTAACTACCTCCTTTCTATATGACTGAACCCTAAATTAACAGTTCCCTCAAATTGAGAGTGCATCCCTAAATGCAGCCACGAGATGCTTGTTCCAGAGTCTGAAGGCCCACCCCTTCCCTGCCAGCTAACACCCCAGACCAGTCAGGCACTCACAACCAATAACCTTTACCCCATGCCAGGAGCCCCCCAAAACTGGACAAGGCCCTTGGAAGCCAGCTTTTCCCTGGGGAGGAAAGAGGAACCCCCCCAGCATAGCCCACCTTCCCACATACACCAGCAGGACTTCCTTGTGAGCCAGGCTTCTCCCTAAATAAGTCTCCCTCAAACAGCGCTGGTGAACCCCGAAACCCACCAGGCCCCCCAAACCATGAAATATCCTAAATTTTCCATTTCCCTACAGGTACAAAGGGATCACTCCAGGGGGCACCTGTGGCCAAATCCAGCATTTTCTCAGATGTGAACCCCAAAACTAAATTAAGACCCCCAAATACATCTTACTTCTGATGCTGCCACTCCAGGGACGCCAGTCCCAGACAAGGCCTACTAACCCCTCCCCACAAACTCATGCCCTCCCCCCAGTTTATAGCCCCCCCATCATGCTTACCTTGGTTGTCACTATACAGAGACAGTCCATGTTGGGGGGCCTGGCCGCGGCGGCGGGTAAGGGGCTCTGACTTCATCGGAGTTTCGTTCCTCCCCTCCGTGGGTTCTCACCCCTCCCCCCTCCGCACCCCACTTTTGCAGGGGGGGCCAGGATGGGGGGAGGGGTGAGAGGGGAAGGAGGGGGTTGGAGAAGGGAAGGGGAGGGGAGCGTGGGAGGGGAGGGAAGGGGGCCCGAGGGATCTTGTGCCTCGGGGCCTTATGGGAGTTGGAGTCCCCATCATCCCGAGGCTGACAAGTTTTCCAGCCAACGAATGTGGCAAGCCTGGGTCT